ATATTGCTCATGAGCATGTACAGTTCAAGTTCCTAGTGTGACTCTTTAACTCATCTGATAGTGCATGAATTGTTCGAAACGGTAGCTGGCATCTGAACGTAGATTCGAATTAAAATGAAAGAAATTCTCTTTCCGATTATCAATTGCCCATTGAACACTGAAGAAATGATAAAAACAGTGAGAAAATTCAACTGCTACTTCAGTAGTACAACGATTACGTGCAAATTATCCCTCAGTTCCTGATAAAATCTCAGTGCCATTCATCATCATCAGTATCAGCATAATCCGTATCATCATCATCATCTTCATCCGTATCATCATCATCCGTATCATCCTCATCATCCGTATCATCTTCATCATCATCATCATCATCATCATCATCATCATGATCATCATCATCATCATCATCATCATCATCATTCGAATCATCAACTTCATGATTATTGGTAAATTTTAGTGAATATCCTCATCACCTTCATGAAGGTCTTTTCATGAAAATCATCAAAATTACTTGTTAGTCTGATGTTTATGGAATCGACCCCCTCTGTCACACGTTATTGTGCAATGAAACAGTCAAGCTACAGAAACAATGAAAGCGATTTTCCATTCTTTCTTTGATGTTTATTCTCTAAGTAAATCATTAAGCCCGCTGTGTCTCCAGGATGTTTAACCAATCCCCGTATCCCTTATGTACAGTGTTTAATGCTGTCCGTGTTGAATTACTGGTAAACAGGGTTGAAAAGTTTATGTCTCTTGTTCCCTTTAGGAATTTCATAATAGGGAGAACAAACATCATCAGAGAGAAAGAACAGGTCGAACTGAACTGTTTCAGGTTGTACTGTGTTACGTACAACTATTCATGTGAAAGTTCGATCGAAACGATCGTAAGTCTTCAAACACCAAAACCTTTCCACCAGCCAAGATCATTGAGAAGGCAAGAGGGAACCAGTATAATTGGGGTTGGACGGAGGGGGGGAGAGAAGACTGAATGGTTACGGCCTGAGCAAAACCTAACAACCGCTCAATGTGCTATTGGATTAACAGCCCGAAAGCTTGATTCGAGTGGATACACGCGGACAGATGACAGACAGGATAGCTGGAGGGACCCTTCGAGGTATTCTTCTGATATACTCTCTACTGCATTAAAAACGTAAACAACTAAGGAGGAGACTTCAGAAGTCGGTTTGCTCGAGTTGAACTCCATAGTCAGTTAATTGTTTCTTTTGGAGAATGTTCAGAGAAGCTGCGTAGTGCTTTCTGGATGGAATTTGTTACAAATGACGTAGTAGCTTCTCCTTCTGATCCCAGCTAAGCGGTAATATGACGAGACGGATTTTCTTTGTTACGTCTAGTCTCCTGGCTCTAGTCTCTTTGATACAGCCATACTTAGAAATCAACTTCTGGGAGTATCCGTTTTCGTGAACCGCATAGGATATCAGCTCAATATCACTTTCAAGTTTTTTTCTGCGGAAAAAATCCTTTTTGCTCCCCAAACATTAAACCTTTTACTGGGGCTCGTATGTAGTGCATTGAACAGAAACTTCTGCAGTTCAACTAATGTCCCGTCCATGTTAGTTAGTGGAGTTTGGACTTGATGGAAATTGCTCTTTTCCTTTATCGAGATTCCAGCGTCCATCAGTCGAACAACGGTCTTGATATTCGGGCGACAACAGTTGAAGGTGTCAAACCTGTTTTCTGTATGATTCTTATCTATGACCAAAACAAATAAGTGGTGATCGAAACGCTCAATTAAAAGTACCTCCTACATTGTTTGTGATTGGTATTCCATGGTATTCTATGAAGAAACCAGTTAAAACTGGTCCTTGTGAGCTATCAGTTGGGTCACCGTCAATCTGTTTTCAACAAAACTAAATCACACCTTTTTGCACATAAAATCAGGAGCTTTTTGAGATGATAAATTCAGACGTTGAGATTCCTAATGCTCGGGATTGTAGTGTAGATGGTCTCTCTTTAACAGGAATATTGGTGACTACCCAGTAGACAGCATATATATATTACTATATAATAAGTAGTATGTGAATAACTGCTCGGAAGAGCAGAGCTGTATGCTACCGAGCGCGTCCTCAGGTCGCGGATAGGAGAACGGCCGCCATCTCGCGGCTAACCGTGAATAAGGTGGGCTTCGGCCTACCGAATAAGCGGTCGCGGACGAGCAGCGGCGGCACTCGAGGATGTGGTGGGTTTACTCCTGGCAAGGGTTCTCCGCTGAAAACGCCACACGTATCTGCAGAAAGCGCTGTGACGTGGCGAATGTGGCCCG